ACCTCATATAGAAATTCTTCAGAAAATCAACCCTGTCTTGGTGGGGAAAGGCTGTTTAAAGAAGCCTAGTGAATTACTACAAGTACTAGGTATGCCTCAAAATGCTTCCTCCTCTGATAGTAAGAAAGCTCATCGCCAGCTGGGTCTACAAGTACACCCAGGCAGGAACCCAGAGAACAAGGAGTCATCTGAGAAGAAATTCAAACAAGTAGCAGAGGCCCATCAGGTCTTGTCTGATGCCAGGAAATGAAATGAGTATGACACAGCCAGAAGGAACCAAACCAAAAGGGAAGACAGAGGAGATGGCAGAGAAAAAAAACATGTGGAGGAGGAACTATGCATTGAGAGGCCACACTGTGTCTTTCAGAATGTCTGAAGATGAAGATGCTTTTCTCAGGAGATGATTTTCCACTGGCCATGTGGGTTAAGCCAGGGGATTCCACTCCTCCATCTTTGATGTGACTCCCATATTGGATACAGGATATTCCACTTTTGTATCTCTGGGCTCCAGAGCGAGTACCTCTACCTCTGAGACATTTGTACCCTTTGTAAGCAGTGGAATGAGAAACTTCAGACTGGTCGCCACTTGTAGCCAGTGAGTAAATGGCAAGAGAGTTGTTACAAAGAAAGTGCTAGAAAATGTGAGGGGGAGGAATGAAGCAGAAAAAGAAAGACTGTTTCATGAGATTCCTCCACATCACTGGTAAAAAGTTGCCACCGTGTTCTTTAACAGGGTGTTTTGATGCTTATGGAAGACTGAATTGTATTTGAGAATGTGTTGAACTGGGATGGACAGAGTTCAGCTTAGTTCAAACCTCTCATTTCACAGAGGAGGGGAATAATGGGACAGATGTTGACATAAGAACCTCGTAAGTAGCAGAGCAGAGCATCCTTCCCCAGTCTTCTGATTTTAAATTAAGCCTCCTTTCCCTTACGTACCATCTAGGACAGTAGAGACCACTTCACAAATATGGCCTTCCCAGTCAGTGCAGAGTCATAAATCCCATTGACTTCTCTTAACCGTTTTTTTTTTTTTTTCCTGCCCTACCTTGCAATTGCCTTGTTGCCTTTCTTGATGGGTACTCTTTGTATCTTCCTAAGCTCTTTTCTCTTTGCTGCTTCTGTTCCCACCCATTCTTTCTTTCTATACATTTCCCACAAACCATATCACAAATAGGTTCAATTCAGAGTTACCTACGTATAGATTAATGCAGAGAGAATGAGTGAAAAGTACATGGGTTAAGATCTTTATATGCTTTTCAATTTTTTAATTTTAATTTTGTAGAGACAAGGTCTCCCTATGTTGTGTGCCCAGGCTGGCCTTGAATTTCTGGGCTCAAGCAATCCTCCCACCTCAGCCTCTCAAGTAGCTGGGACTTCCATGCCCAACTTTTATATGCTTTTTTAAATAGCATTTATTGAGTGGTCAGTGCACGTCAGGAATTTTCACAAAAGTTACCTCAATAATACTTTCAGCAGTGAAATATAGTAGTCACTTTCCCCCATCATATAGATAAGAAAATAAGGCTTAGAAAAATTCAGTAATGTGCCCCAGGCCCCATTAATAAGCAATAAAGTAGTGTCTTAGTCTAAAGCATACGCTTAGCTAGTGAGCTATAATATCTATGAATCCTACTCATTTATTTTTAAATCTAGCCTCTTGCCCTCATTGGAAATTTAAACTATCATCTCTAGACTTTACTTCCATGCATGAGTACTTGCTGGAACTTAGTAAAGATGTAAACATTTTTTTATCGCCCAACAGGAACCTGAAGGTTACTTTTACATGAAGACACAACCAGTGTAAAAGTTTTACCGACACTAACAAATGATTATCAGCTAACACAATTCCCAAGATGTGAAATACCTTTTGTTTTGGATTTCATCATAATGTACATGCAAAATCTTGGGTTTGTTTTGTTTAGGTGGAGTTGGTCACACTCCAACTCATTCATTTATATCAATACACAGACTGGGTTCCAGAGGAGTTGTTCCTTATGGAAAGTTCCGGATACAGTCTGCATTAGAACCTCTCCAGTTTCCAGTCCCAAGCTCATTGTAGTGCAGCATGCTGTTGGCAGAATTTGGATTTCACTTGCATCCCATGGAAGTTATGTAACAAATTATTTGTCTTCTTAATCAAGGAACTTGCCTGTGTGTGCAATTTTTGTGAAACGATTGTTTTATGTAGTCTTTGAACTTTTTAATCTCAGTAAATTGTCTGAGCCTAAACAGGAATATGCCTACATCTTCCTGGCAAAGGGGAGCACACTTGCAGAAAGGAAGCAGAAGGTGGATTTGGAATCAGAACACATCCTATTTCTTTCAAAGCCTATCCACTTCCACTTAGTAGTCACTGTGAACCTCCTACATGTCAGGCACCGTGCACGGTACTTTGCATCCTTCATTTCTAATCTCTAAAGTCCTTCACGGGTTTGTTTCCATCTTATAGGTGGGGAAACTGAGGTGCAGGGCAGTTAAGTCTGCCACCCAGGGCCACATAGTACTTTGTGGAGACAGGATTCAGACTGCAGTTTGCCTGACCATAAGCTTCATTTCCGTTATGCTGTATTCCACTCTCATTCCTTTGAGCTGCTCTAGTTAGGATTTAAGGGGAATGTTTGGTTGTATGTATGAATTCACTATATTTATTTCAACATTTCTAAAACGAGGATTTCCAGATGGAGCTTTCTTTTACCAGCCCTGGTCTGAGGTGAACTGCAGTGTGTCTACTGAACAAAGGGAAAATCAGATTGGAGCAGAAACATGATTTTTCCATTTTCTCTTAAGTAAAACCCAAATTTCAGCATTTTCACAGGCATACTTGGCTTTTGACAGAAATGCTGAGTTGTCAAAGGACTTTTTGCCAACAAAGATTTTTTTTAAAATTCACTTTGAGTTAGTTGAGGAAGTTTTCTTGGTGTATAGAAATGAAAGCAGCGTCATCTCTTCCTGATGCCTATTTAAACATGTAGTAAGTGAAGTGTGCGCACACAACAGCTGAGGCAAGATGGAGGGCAGGAAGGGCTTTGCCGTTCAGTAAAACATTCTGAGCCCGCGTGCAAGACACAGCGTGAGCTTTAAGGTCACCTCTAAATTAGTCTCTGTGACCTCACAGTGTCTTCGGCACAGCTACTGTGCTTTGCAGGGGCCAGAGTCTCCTCCACCAACTCTCAGACCTGCAGCTTTCACTAATCGGCAATCTCTAGGATTACTAGTTGCCTAAATAGGAAGAAAAGTACTTTAGGATTATTGGGTCAATTCCTGTGTCCTTAAGGAAATTTTCTATTCTTGTCCTATCAATCAACTGCTTTTTTATGTGTTAGGGTCTCTCACAAACTAATGTGAGATAGTTTGTGTTCTGGTAGCTGACAGAAGAAAGGTTTCCCAGACTCAAAACCACCATAGACCAGGTAGAAGTAATTCCTTGTTCTGCTCTGGTTCATGTTAGGTGGCTGACAAGTAAAATGAGGACCTGGTCCTGTCGAGAATGATGGAAGGGATGATGACAAGTGATTGTATAACTCATAGCTCAGGGAGCATTTGCAAGAGCAATTTCTCATAGAATCTTGTCAGAAACCCTACCAAGGAAGAAACAGAAGAGAAGGGACTTGCCTAAGGTCACAAAGTGGGTGTTTCTTCAGCCGCCTAGCCTGCTGCTATTTCTCCCACGCTGTTAGGCATTCAAAGCACATTTTCTTCCCAGCCTGGCAAGCAAGGCACATGAGAGTTGGAGGAGCCACCCTGGGATAATGTGGGAGGGAGTCTCGTTTTATGTAGTTGCAGCTACGCATGGTGTCTCCATGTCTGTCGGTCAGTGGAAGAGGTGGGTGCAGAAGTATGTGGGTAAAACCATGAACAGAAATGTCACAACTCACTGACCATGCACAGCTGGTTTATCTCTTAAACCCAAGTCACCTAAGAACCAGCTCATGTTCTTAAGAGACGTAAGGTTCCCATACAAAAAATAACAAAAATAATGTGGTATTCAGCATTCTTCTAAGTTCTTCCTTTCCAAAAGTGTCAAACCACTTTGTATGTGTGGGATCCTCATCTCTTTTGTGAGAAGCCTGTTTTTACTTCACCCCAAAGCTTTGTAGTTTCTCCAGAATCCCTGGAGTGCAGTGTACCTGCCTCTGAGTGCCTAAGGGTGCAGGGAATGGACTCTGAGCAGAACAGAGAAGGGATTTTCAGCTGGCAGGGCCCTGCCCCTCACTACCTTATTTAGAAGTTTGAGGATCCATTGAGAGGGTGTGTGGTAGGGGAACTCATCTTGGAGAGGTTGATTTTGAGTTGAGGTGTATGGTTCCTCCTTTAAAGGGCAGGAAAGTCTCCCAAAGTCTTAGTCATTTTTCTAATCCCCATTGTTGCAATTGTCTAGACTCCAGGAAAGCTAAGACTCTAGGACCATCTGAAACACATATATTTAAGTATCAAGAGAAGCAGAGGGGGATTATAAAAATAACATTGGCTTTAGCTGCAGGTATATGACAGTTCAAATTCTATTCACCCCTTTCCCAACTTCACGATCTTAGGCAAGTGAACTTCTTGCTTGATCCTTGGCTTGCCTGTAAATTAGAGATGATCGTCTCTGCCCATTCTAATTTACAGAGTTGTTTTAGAAATTAACTTCACAGAAAATTCTGCATAAACTTTAATGATTTTAAAAACGGAAAGTGTCATTATTCCTTTCAGAAGCAACATCTTTGATCCTTAAGGATACATGCTGTAAGCTTGCTATCTGTTTTTCGAGATGTGATGTTTGTGATAGGAGCTTGAAAGCAAGATCAGCTATGGATTGTGTTTAATGCCAAAATAAATCTGAAAGATGTAAGATAAAAATAGAAGATTGCATTTTTTCCATTTTGGCACTACTACAAACATAATGTTTTTAGCTTGGGCACAATTGATACGACTTTTACCTCTGAACTTCCTTTTCTCTTCATTATCCTTGAGCTTTTGGACTCACATGTTGGCTTTACCCTCTGCTTCTATTATAGGAAATTGATGGAAAATCCCTGCTATTGATGACAAGAAATGATGTGTTGACAGGACTTCAGTTAAAATTGGGGCCTGCTCTGAAAATCTACGAATATCATGTAAAACCTCTGCAGACAAAGCATTTAAAGAACAACTCTTCATAGTATAGTCAAATTGGGGTCTAAGACCTCAAAAAATACATAATGACATAATTTAGTTTCATGTGATGAAACTTTGTAAACAGAATACATACATGTGTATATGTAAAGAATTTCAATCAAATGAAACGTTATCCTATTGGATAAACTAGGCAATTCATCAGCTGACCTGAAATCAGCCAGGAGGAGCAAGGACAAGATGCGCACAGGGTTGTTTTCCTCGTGGAATGTGTTGAATAGAATGATCTTTGACACGATTAGATACTCCTCCCCAGAAAGGCTTTCAACATAAGGATTTTCGTCATCTCTTTATAGATTGCTTTCCCAAAATCCTTTAAAAAAGAATTTAATTGAATGACTATCTTTTGGTTACAGACTTAGGAAGGGTAAAAACAAGAACACTTGGGGAGGGGGAGAAAGAAGAAAAGGATTGCTGTCCCCCTTGAATTCCTTTGCTCCTTAGAGCCTGTGTTACTTGGATGGAATTGCCGACACCCTTTTTTATAGAGGGTTCTCCACTTGACCTTATTAAGGTTTTATTGGGATACGCTGCCGTGTTTGAAATGAACATGCATCATGGCCCCTTCAGGAGCAGACTCGTAGCTCTGAAAAGAGAAGCTCCATTGTGTACTGAGGGTATCCATCCATATCCAGCTAGCTTTCAAATGGGGTAATGGTATTTTCTGCACAGATTTTCTTTTAAATTGGTTCTTTGTTTTTGAAGAAAGCATTTTTTTAACTTCATGGTTTTATTTATAATGATTTGTTTCTGCAGCAATTTGCTGAGAGTTATAGGTCAAAAAGCCTTGTTACTAGTACAGAATATTTTTATATATATTCCTTTATGATGGTGTAATTTTTTAATTGTCCTATGCTTTGTTCAGTTCCTGGGTTAAGTACTTGTTTTTAAGAACTTGGAAAAAGTGGGCTTGCTACATCTCTGTTCAAAGAGACATTTGTTCAATCTCTATGTGTCAACGCCTTGTTGAATTGGTGCTTTGTGGTTGCAATAAAGCATTGCTTCAGTTTGTTGCCAGTGTATCTTTGATCTTTTCTGTTTGGCTGCTTCTTCAGTTGGGATTAAGGATTAAGGTCTTCTGGAAACTAGGGAGAGAAAATTAAGCATTTGGGAGGGGAAAAACTTTAGAAGTAGAAATTATATAAATCTGTATGTGCATTTAATTTCTTTATAAAGTGACTCATTCAAGTAAATCTCATTTCTTCTTTCATCCCCAATTTTAGGTATTATTTTAGCCAAAGATTTTTTTTGTTTGCTATAGGCCAGTGGGGTCATGATTTTTTTTTAATTCTAATAAAAGCTACTGACTTCCTTTCCAGACAAAAGCTCACATTTCCACATACAAAACTTGCGAAGAGTTGGTGGACTCATAATTTCCCTCTTCCTCCTCCTCAAGTTAAGAGTTTCTATTTTAGAAAATATCATAATTCAGTCCCCTCTGGAGATAATTTCTTGAAAGAACAGAAAGTCTGAAGATTACAGTAAAAAAAACATAGGAAGTGGTATAGATAGTAGGTGGGGTTTAAAAACGCATTCCAAATTAATTCAATTATAGAGCATACAGAGTATCTGAAATTTAAGTAATGTTTTGTTTTCACTGTAAGTGGGAAAAGTGGTTACAAAAGAGACATTATTTAAAATCTCTAAGTTCCCACAGTCTACCTAAGACCAAAAACACAAGTAAAAGGCAAAATATAGTTAAGTGTTGTGAGGAGTGATGGAGGCAAAAGGTGAGAACTGCAGCTGAGACCTGGATAGGAAAGAAGGGATTCCTGGATCAAGAAGAAGGAAGATGGAATGAGAATCTTGATTAAAATCTCTGCGAAGGAGTTTCCCGCAGTAAAATCATGATGATGTTTGACCCCTCTCTACCTTAAAGGGATAGTATGAGGTATTTCCGAGCCCTGCTTCTGTGCACCCACCTAATACCTTCTGTAGTTTGGAATAGGTTTGGCTGTGAGCGACGGAAACTGCCTCTCCCACCCCCACCTTTGGTCACAAACTGTCTCTCCCACCCCCACCTTTGGTCACAAACTGCCTCTCCCACCCCCACTTTTGGTCACAAACTGTCTCTCCCACCCCCACCTTTGGGCATCTTTGGTCACAGAGGTTAGAGGCCTTAAGCTTTCAACAAAGCAAGGTAAAGCAACCAAGGAAAGTTTATTAATAAACAAGATAGACACCAACTTCCCTCTCATGTAAATGTCCAGATAGGGGAACCAGAGGTGGTGCCCTACACAATGGTAGGGACACAGTTTCCTTCTATTGTTTTCTTCCATGATTCATGACACATGTTCCCAGAATCATTTCATAGCCCTAATAGCTGCTGTTTCTTTGCCATCGTCACTTGAATTCCAACCAGTGGAGAGAAGAAAAGGGGAAAGGAACAGACCTTCCTTTAAGGATACTTCCAAGAAATAGTACATACTATTTCCTCTCATATCTTGTAGACTGGAAGTCAATCACATTACTTGAAATAGTTCATCTTTTTATTGGAAACCATGAGCCCAACTAACATGCAAAGTCCCATTATTCTGTAGATAAAGGAAAAGGGATATTAAGAGACAACTTGCTATTACCACTGTCCACTGACCACTAAACACTCATAGCAAATGACACTAAAAGTTTGTCTTCGGCTATATTTTTCTCGAGATTTGAACTTGGGTTCAGCTAAGTCAACTAAACCTCAGATTTGGGCTGCTCTCTGATACTTGGGCGCGAGGGGAATTGAAGAGCAAACAGAAAGTATAAAATCATTCCTCAGCCTCTGATGAGAGCATTCAGGCAAAATTAGCAATTTAAAGATAGTCTGTCTTCCCTACACTTAGCATAAAGGCCTAGGACAGGCAGGCCTGCTCTCCTTGGCAATAGCTCAAGGTGATTTCATCTCCCTCTATTTAGGGGAAAACCAATGTGATCAAAATAGGCCAAAAAGAGAGGCTGGAAGTACTTGAAATTCAGCAGGTAGGCAGCCTTTGTCTCCAGACAGCTGTAAAAACCAGAGACATCTGATTCCTTTTCAGATCACACTGGATTTCTGTTAATGTGATCTGGATCTGCAATGAGTAGCAGATACATGTGCTGTGTGGGGAAGTACCTCATGGATGTGAGTGTGCCCTGATGGCAATATATTTAACAGTGAAGGCTTATATGAGAATTGGCTAATGTTGAATGTGACTATTCTCAACCGGAGAAGCAGACAAGATATCAGAATCAGAAGCAATTTAAGAAAATAATTGCCACTCCCCATTGCCCCCACATTTGAACCTCTAATTCAGACTCTGCAAAGAAGATTGAGTGAATTGATTTAAAGATGAGGTCACAAACTGGCCACTTTTCAGTGGAATCTAAAACAACATGTTTTCCTTTGGCCAGTGCAGTATGTGTGTGTTTTAAAAACTACATTTACACACTTCTAGTGAGGCCGAAAACTCCAATCTGTTACTCCTCCATTCCCTAATGTCTTAAAACCAGCAACTTCACATTTTTACATTAACAGGCCCCTGAAGGCAATTGAGACATCAATTTTAGACATGGCCCCGAACACACACCCAACCCAATCTAAAACAAAATACAGAAAAACAGTAAGCCTCCTTAGAGTGAGTTCATTCAGGAATTAAAAATTGCAAATAGATTCAATTGAAAAGAAAACAAGCTAGCATATTGTATTGGAATGTGCAGCAAGTTTGAGCATCATTTTTTATACCTAGTGGGCATGATGAGTATGAAGAAAAAGAGGCCACTTGGTAGCAGTCTTTTCATTCTGTCCTTAGCGAATATCCCATGTGAATACAGCTTTTTGTCCCTCCGAGATTAGCATCTGCAGTCAGGGGCGCACACTGTCCTTCAGTTGCATTAGTGAAAATATCTTTGGGGGAATTTAATTTGCAAAAGTCTAATGACCCACAGTTGCCCAGCCACTTCCATATTTGGAAGCCAAATGCAGAAAGGACTTACTGGTGATGATTCATCCGTCTTTGACAGTCCTTGTAAATGGGATCTGCAGGGGTCAGGTCTGGGCCCAGAGCCATTAAGTGTTTTCTGAAATGATTTGGAAGATAAAGTTAAATGTTCAAAGAGCTGACTGCTGCAGGACAGATATGCCTCTTAGGAGAAAACTTGTTAATTCTGCTGCTAAACCAAGAACAGAATCCACAGGAATGAGAGAGCAGGTAATGGATGCATTAATGAACAGCTCGTTAGTTTCATGCTGGACCTCCACAGGCAATTAAAGAGTCTGGGTACCATTTCTGGCCAATTGTGGCAATACTATAGAGCAAGAAGAAGATTAAAATGATTGCATCCAAGTTCATTTGGTGAGTGTGGCTGTCTTATGTCTTAGAATCCCTTGGAGAACCCCAAGGAACAGTTGTGTCTAGCCAGCACTGAAGCAGAATAATGGAGGATCCGGTGGCTAAAGCAAGCTGATGTCCTTCACTCAGTTAAGTTAGAGTGTCCCTGTCTACAACTGTCTTTAGGGAGAAAGCAAGAAAGCTGGAGATGCCAGGCATTTCCAATTAGAAACTGTGCCCCTTTTCCTCAGAACAAGTATATGAGCCAACCTGCCACCTTTTTTAAAGACGTGGGAAAATGGTGAGTAAAAGTGTAAATAATACTGAACATACTCGTTACCTGCAAAGGTTGCCTGACTCAGCCAGATAAAGGATAATATGCTGCAAAATGGTTTATGCTCTTACCTAGGCACCACCCATGGGGCATCTTTGGTCACACGGGTTAGGGGCCTTGCGCTTTCAGCAAAGTGAGGTAAAGCAACCAAGGAAGGTTTTGCCATGAGGTCCTCCGGCTCTCTCACTGGATACCTATGGCAAAGTTTTCCAAATTAAATGTCTTCTTTCTGAATCAAAGGCAGCAGAAGCATTCAGCAAATTGTATTTCACAGCCCTTTTCAATGGATTACATTCTATTTTTATGTGCTGGGGAATATGTGTTTGAGAATGATACTATAGAATTCATCAGCTTGTAAACACATTTTGAGTGGAAGTCAGTAAAACTGCAAGCCACCAGCAGTTTCTGCCTATAATAATTAGTGTTTGGCATAGTATTCTGTCTGCTGTACTGAACCCAACGACACTAGTCGAGGTACATAGTAGGTAGCGTGTGAAGTCACTGAAGTTGTACCAGATAGACCTGAGCTTGAATCCGGTCTTGGCATCTACCGGACCTGGGAACTTGGGTAAGTCGTACGGCTCCTCTTAGCCTCAGGAACCTCATCTATTCTCTAGTTCAGATGCAGAAACAGAGTAGAGCGGCATCAGCCTAGCAATGCTCAATAGAAACAGAATGCGAGCCGCTTACATAAATTAAAATTTTCTAGTAGTCACATTTGAAAAGGTGACCTGGAAAAAAATAATTAAAATAATATGATTTTAAGCCAATATGTATTGGCTTAAATATTATCATTTTAACATATAATCAGTATAAATATTATTGATGATATTTTATAAAATCTTTTCATTTACCTCCGAAATCCAACGTGCATTTCATATTTACTGCACATCTCAATTAGAACAATGTAGCTCAAGTGCATCATTCAGGATTAGTTTCAGTTGAAAAAAAATAACAGTGACTTAAGATAGAAATTCTATTTTATGCATATGAGGTTGAAGGTAAGCAGTTCAGGGATGGCAAAGCTGTTCCATAATGTTTTGGTCTCAGCCCTCTTGTGTGGCTCCATCATCCTCGACACATAGTTTCCCATGTAGTCCGAGGTGGCTGCTTGGGCTTCAGTTATCACAGCTGCATTCCAGCCAAGAAAAAGAGGTAAAGAAGGACACCTGATATGAGAAACTGCACATAGCACTTTCTTTTTTTTTTTGAGACGGAGTTTCACTCTTGTTACCCAGGCTGGAGTGTAATGGCGTGATCTCGGCTCACCGCAACCTCCGCCTCCTGGGTTCAGGCAATTCTCCTGCCTCAGCCTCCTGAGTAGCTGGGATTACAGGCACGTGCCACCATGCCCAGCTAATTTTTTGTATTTTTAGTAGAGACGGGGTTTCACCAT